ACGGTGCACCTACCGGTGCTCCGCTCCGGAGAAATAACGGTGCAACGGGCCGCGCAATACAATGAGCGAGAGAGCCGAAACGAAAAAGCGGGAAAAAGCCCAAGCGGAATTCGTTGGCCGCCGCCGCGCCGCGTTAAATCACGCTCAGTGCGTACGCTGTGTGCGTGCTCTAGCCGGACGGGCGGAGGGAAAAAGGAGAAAAGAAGCGTCCACGTGAAATTAGAAGCGCAGGATTTAACTGTACTCGGGGCTATAAACTTTCGCTGTAACCCTCGCGGTCAGAACTGTAAAGTCCGCGCCTTGCTTCCGCCAAGAATCGCGCCGAAGGAACAGCTCGCGGAGAGATACCGTGGAATGTGTAGCGCGCGTGCGCTCTTCTCGTAGACTACGACTATGATAAGGTTACATTAAACTTGAGCGTATATCGCATCGTATCGCGCAACATCACGCGGCAGAACTTACGAGTCGGCGGAATTCTTCCAGTGACGGTCGCGATTAGCCGTTAACGGACGATCGAACGCGCCTTAATGGGTAGATGCAAACTTAACAGTATTATCGTATGAACGGGGGACCGTTAGGCAAACGGTTATCACATGCGGCATATCGTAATTATTTCGGCAGGAACGTTCCTTTTTTGCGCAGCAGCCGCGTGCTGTCGATTTGTCGCGTCGAAGCATGCGCGGCAAGATATTGATACGTCGCTCGAGTGCGCGCGAGAAAAAGAGATTCGCTCGGGTGCGCGATAATGAACCTTTCCTTGAGCTCGTGATTATATTTTTTAAACTGTTACAAAGAATATTCCTTGTCCGAGACGAGACTTACTGCTTGAAAGGGGAAATGTGTACCAAGTAGCTCTTTGCGTTTCTCTGAATTCCGACTTTGGCACACTTTGGCGACCAATAATCGGTCGCGTTCCAGTCCGCAATTTCTAATTATCAGTCTCCAACATTTGTGTTGGTCCTCGATACAAGTGATATTACATATCTCTTTCAGAGATAGCAAAGGATAATTGGGAATGAATGACGATTGCTTCACGATAATGATATCAATGACAAGATAATGACTACAAAAACGTTCCTACATGATTAACGGTGAAAAGTGCAAGTCAGCCTTCGTTTCATCAGAATCTTGATTAAAGACCGCGCTCGTTATATCTTTTTTATACAAAAATTAGCAAAATTTGCAGCTTCTTAAATTTACTACCGAAAATTTTGAATACGCCTTCAAAATGCCTTTCTGAAAATGCAAAATCGACAGGATGAGCGGGATTTCAATTTAGTATTCGTGGTCTGAGTCTCGGATATATTTTATGAAAACCGTAAAGTGCGGTTTGAGTCCTTGCTTTAAATCTTCAGCTGAGACTCAAACCACAATTCATTTCGTTTTCCAGAAATTTAACCGAGACTCAAACCACATTTTACCGTCTTCTTTAAAATTTAGCTAATTTCGTGGAATGAAATTAGACTAAAGCATTATTATGATATTTAAACCATACGAAGAAAATGACACCTTTCTCCGACCACCGGAAGTGTCCGAAAAAAATTATTTTCTTTTTTTTAAAGAAGTTATAATAACTTTCAAGTACTTCCGGTAGTCGGAGAAAATCGGATGAGATATCATTTCTTGTTTCGACGAGTACTACCGCATGCAATTTTAAAAGTTTACAAGAAACGCCTGGTTTCGATTTTCCCTCATTTTATGGATACATGAAATTAAGCAAAATCTAAACCAGGCGCTTTTTGTGAACGTTTAGAATTATATTCGATAAGACTCATCGAGACGAAGAAAAAGATATCTCGCCCCACTTTCTCTGACTACTGGAAGTGCTCGAAAAAAATTGTTATCTTAGTTTTACATGTTGCACTAATTTTCGAACACTTCCAGTGGTCGGAGAAAGTCAGGCAAGGTGTCATTTTCGTTGTCTCGACAAATACTACCAAATGCAATTCTTAAAGTTCAGAAAAAACAGCTGATTTGAAATTCGTTTCATTTTATAAGTCTAGGAAATCAGCTAAATTTTGTAGAAATCGGTAAAATGTGATTTGAATCTTGACTAAATTTCACGGGAACTAATAAATCGTGGTTTGAGTCTCATCTGAAAAACTTCAGCTGAGATTTTAGCTGAGATTCAAACCATTTTACAATTTACCATCCTGCATAAAATTAACCGAAACTCAAATCAACAACAAATACCAAATTGAAATCTCGCTCGTTTTCTCGATTCGTGTTTTTGTATCAGAAGTACATAATGAGAGGAGGAGCGATATCCCGATAAATTTAACCAAGATTTGAACCACAGTTTACCGGCCTCCATAAAATTAAACCGGGCGGAAAAATTAGGGTGTGGTCTAGTTTTACTTGTATCGAGAAATATTATCGAATGTAATTCTGAATGTCCACAAAAAACGTCTTTGGTTTTAGATTTTGCAAAATTTTCTATGAAATGGAGGTCCGCACTATTCAGCAGCTCAAAAAAATTATATCAACCGCAATGTATTTGTTTTTAATGTATTTAGTCGCATCACAAAATGCGATAACGAATAAAACGCAGCTGTGATATTTTGATTTCGTATACGAATTAAAAAATGACATTTATCATTAGCAGATTCATATTCAAGAAAGTTTAAGTCTCAGTCGATTATTATCGATAATTTAACAATTTTATCGATTATAAAAAAACCGATACATTTCTTAATCAGTTTTTTGGGAAACCAATTGTTTTCCTCCACACCGTTTATCCCCATTTTTATGCCGCTCGCTCGCTCGCGATATCGCTCGGTTAGCCGCGAAAAGGGAAGTAACATTGTCTCTAGCCGGAGATAATATCTCCAACAGCGGAAGGAGAGGGCGAATGAGAAAGGGTCAATTCGCCTATGTTCTCTTCCTCTCTCGCTCTCTCCTCCCCGTTCTCTTTCTCTCTCTTTCTTTCCTTTCTGCTAGCCGACCTTCTGCAAGGTCCTCCGACGTGCACGGCGGGACTTCGCGGTTGGAATGCGTGACTCGACGATTTTATAACCCGCTTTCAATTACCGTTCGTGGTGCTCTTGTTTCCATGCTCGCCTTGCCTCCACCTCGCCGCGCATGTAACACGAGGTGGTGCTGCTGAGGAGGGTTGGAGGGCTTTGAGGTGGAAGAGGAGAGGAAAACGCCGGCGGTGCGCGAGTAAAAGACACGAGCCGTCCAAATGCTGCGCGTCGCGTTGCGTCCTGTCGTGTGTCCGTCCCGTCTTTTCTCTTTTGCTCACCGCCAGAATGTCCGTTCGTCTGTCTTGTCTGCCTGCCTGCCTGCCTGCCTGCCCGCCTACCTGCCAGTCCTCCTGCCTTTTTTCTCACTCTCACTCTCTAGAGGGGACGTGATTTATTCGACGTCGGATATACAATCGCGCAAGCGCGAGGAATAAGAAAGCCCGATAATAGCGCGCAGGAAACGCATTCCTCGCAAAGGACATCCATCCCGGCGACGAGCGGGACAATTTCTTTCGGATCATCCGGTTCGCGTAATTCGGGGAATGATATTGAATATCGTGCGATATTTAATAACCGCGCATGCCTCTGGAAATAAGGAACGAGGCGATTCCCCCTCCCCCTCCCCCACTTTCGTTGTTTGCACTGGATGAGAGCGTGAAATGATTCACGCTGTATTGCCATGAATTTCGATGAAAGTGCTTGAAATAAACGCCCCTAAATGGATTTTCACCGATAAAATGTTTAACGGCAAGAAAGTTTAAATAATACTTTATATCGTTGAAAATATTATATAATTGTCCCAGAAGAGTCTATATCTGCTATAATCATATATTCCTTTGCCCAGTACCCTATTTATATAATTTTTTTCTTGCGTAAATATCATCTGGGGTACTTTTGCACTCCAAAAGTTAGGTTCGAGTTGGGTCAAAACAAATGTACATTTCTCATTATATAAATATATAATCACAGTGTATAGATAAAAATTTTGATATTAATAGCGGTACATAACGTAATTTGAATACTTTCATTGGATTTACAGCGATTGGACGTTTTCGAAAGGTTACCAGCAATTATCGCTACGCGGCGGTGAGCGCGAGTTTCGCTCGCTGTACGATCGGGAAATCATTTTTGCTGCGGGGGTAAAAAGGGCAAGCGTGATTAAACGGGTAGTAATGATCCACGGTAGTAATGATCCATGTGAAACGAATAAGGGGATCCGAAGGGACGGCTAGAGAGCACCTCGGCGTGTATAAAACGCCTGAGTTATAGTATCCCATGCTGCGTGCCATTAGCCGTTCGTTTGCAAGCAACAACTTCATATGATTCCGGCTACATTGTAATTCGCGTGCATTTATCAGTCGCGCTCGGTCGCACGCAGGCGGTCCTCACCAAGTCTGAAGCGACGTATGGTAGACATAGCCCAAAAATCCAAATCTCGACGTTCGGAGGCTGCGATTTTGGAATTTTGGAGTTAGAACTTATCGGGAAATTTTTCTACTCTTGGAATTCTTACGCGTTTTTTTTTCTTTTTTTTAGGACAATAACTTCCATTCTATTCTTTATATTTGTATCAGGTCGCATTGTTTGTGCAAAAAATTGTCTATATAAAAATAAAATATTACTGGAATTTGATACGAAGGAGAGAAAGTGGTACAAAAAGTTCCTCTCCAAACTTCTCGAAGTGAAAATTCGTCGAAAGCGACAGTGAGTTGGAATGATCCCGTAATCCGAACGAATGAATGTTGCGATCGATTCAAACGAGTTTATCCCGCTGACAATGAGGTATATCAGATCCACTCTTCAAGTTCGAATAGAAACATTCGAAGATTCATTCGGATTGAACGTAATCATTCTATACAAGTCTAAAAATCACTCGAGTCCGAGCGACTCGGCTGTCGCTCGACTTATCAAGCGAAATCTCACTTAGCGAGGAGTCGAGAGATGTGGTCCAAAATAATGAAAAAGAAAACAACCGATTATAGAAAGAGCAGACCCGATGACTTTACGAAAAAACTCTCTGTGACCTCTTTGTAGACCCTTCAACGATGCTGCTGATCCCGCTGCTACTCATAATCGGACCCGCGGTGGCGTTTCCCCTGGCAGACATGCTTGACAGCTCCCGGCCTGACGTCCCCCAGGAGCAAAAGGCGCTTTTCGTCTCCACAGAGATAACCGGCACCGAGGCGCCAACGGAGCACGAGGATCCGCGTGAACCGCGAGAGATGGTGGAGGACGCGACCAAGAAGACCCTGTCTGAGACCTTAAAGAGCACAAGCGATCACCCCGAGGCTTCTGCCGACTCAGAAGCCGGCGAGAGGAAGATGACGCAAGGGCGCAAGCACAAGGCCATGTTCGTGGACTACCCTCTGGTATCGCCAATCTACCCGGGGCTGTCGGCGTATGAGATCGACGGCTACGAGGAGGAGCCGGCGGTCACAGGAACGGAGCGGTCGTCGGGCGATTCCGCCAAGCGGTACCAGGAGAGCAACATCTTCTATATCCGACTGCCGCCCACGCCTTACATGTTCGTGCCTGGCCTCGGGTACATCTCGCAGCCACCTACGTACTCGGTTGCCAGCGCCGCCGCCAGCAGCCTGAGGCCGCAGGTGGTGCCGGTGGTGGGCCAGCTACCCCAGCTGCTTCAGCTGCCAGCACCCCACGCGAAGCCGGTGCGACCGGGTCAGCCGGGCGTTTATCCGGCCGGCGAGACCGTTAATCCCTTCATCAAGCTGCCCATAGACTTCGTGAGCAACGGCAAGCCCACCGCTGTGTATCAGTGGCAGAAGAAGCCCGGCAAGAAGCCGGCCGACAGCCCAATCACCAACCTGGACAGCTTGTCAGCCGACTTTGTAAGCAACGGTAAGCCGACCTCCATTTATCAGTGGCAGGCGAACCTCAAGCGGCCTGACGCTTCGCTCAACAGTCTCGACCTGGGACCTTACAACTTCAACGGCAAGCCGACCGGCCTGTACCTGCTCGGGCCGGACGGCTCCTCCGCCATGCACCAGTCCATACGACGTCCCGATTATCAGGCTGATTATCGGAGCGCGTATTACTGAGGTGTGCGCGCGAGTTTGCACCTAGCTAGCTGGCCAGATGGAGGACGAGTGAGACTTTGTGTGAGCTGTGAGAATCCCCGGAGAGGGTTCTGCGAATTTCTTCGAGCGAAATCTCAGCCGATAGACTCGATGAAGGGACTGAGAATCTGGTCACTCGAAGTCGCAGGAGTTGGTGTTTATTTTGAAGCCGCTTTTATTCCGGGGGAAAATTCGCTTCAGGCTGGAGAGCTCATTCTGTGAGTGGCAAGTCACTCGTATTTGGGACCGCTTTGCCTCTCGAGTGGAATTTTAAAGAATACGCTCTGCGAATTCAGAGCGTAGTTTTTAGCTTTATTGGTACGAAGTCTCGCAGAATTATTAACCCCTTGACCGAGTGACGCATATACGCGCGAAGAGAGAAACAGTAAAGCTATTGTTATTTGCATACAAGCGAGTATATTATGCGATTTTGTGGGCGCTGAATTCAAATTTGATATCAAAATTTCACAATACAAAATAGCGGATCTAATATGGAGTGTAAAAATTTTGAAAATAATCGGATTTTCATGAAAGTGGGTATCTATATAATAGATTTTTTACTCTATTTTTATATCTTTTTTGTTTCTGTAGTTTTTAATTTTTCGGGGGTTTCAATAATTTTTAACTTTTTTTGTTTCTATAATTTTTAACTTTTTGTTTTTATAATTTTCATTTTTTTGCTTTCATGATTTTTAATTTCCTTGTTTTTATAATAGTTCTACTAATGTTTTTAAAATGATAGTATTTTTATGTTCTTAAAATTCATATTTAAAACTTTTATTCCATCATCTTGAATTTTGAAATTTGAATATCAAATTCGGACTTAGCGGCCCCAAAAAACTTTTATAATAATGTCATAAAGAAAATTCGACAACATTGTTTCCAACAAAAATGGCACGACCAGTCCATTTCTGCCTCCACAGTCAAGGGGTTAACAACGCGTATAAGCGAACCAATCGGAATAAACTTGAGCTTCACTCTCCAACTTTGAGCGACATCATTCACTGGATAATTCAGAGCAGAGAATTCATTTTGTGTGAACTTTGCTCGAATTCGAGTGACTCGGTTGTCGTGTTGCTTCTCGAGTGGAATTTCGCTCCAAGAAGGGAACGAAGATACAACGACGGTCGATTCGTCAACCTCGTCGCCGCGAGCCGGCCGAGCGAGTTCGTGAGCGCGATGAAAACCCAGCTTACGACGACCACCCACGATTTAATGATAACGCCAGGCACGACGTCGAGCGTCTCTCAAGCTGTAATTCGTCGCTCGTGCGCCGCGCTATTTATGATCCGCGCTATTTATGATTCGCGCGCGTCCGTTACGCGTTGTCACGTCTAGCCCCGTCGCGATCGCCATCGGGATCGTGATTATTGAAATTTTGTTTAATCCGTCGCGCGTGGATGCGTGTCGCGGAATATGCTCGCCGAGTTAACGCGGGAATTTATAGTACGGCCGCTCCTGCGAGACGGATTGAAAATTGTTGATTGAAGGCGTCTCTTATTCGCCTGGACGTCGTCTGACGCGACATTCTCAAAGAGAGTTTTCGTATTTTGTATTATATTATACATAGGCGTACAAAGATACGTAATTATTATGTACGAATTATTATGTTATTATATACAGGCTGTCTCAGTTCCCACGGCTTTAGGGGTGGTTTAAGCTCAGTTAAGTTTTTCCTGATCGCGTGAAAGTGGAGGGACTTTTCAATTTTCATTTTCATAGAGCATCTCTGTAACTGAGGCTGGAAAGAAGATTTCGTCATGACGAGGTCCACTTGAAATTGATCGAGGAAAATCATCTTATTTTCTATTTGGTCGTCCGAAGTTTAGTTTGCGAAAAGTTGCGAAGCATGCTTTTCTGCGATCGTTTGTGTCTTCGAAGTTATTTGACGCGCCTCTACGTTTCCACTGAGGGTAAATAGACTCTAAACTGTTCGGAAAAATTGAAGTCGCGGGAGAATTGGGACACTCTGCACACACACACACACACACATACACACACAGATAGGAGAAAGTTGCCTATATTAAACCAGTTTTCAATTTTTTTTTCATAATTTTCAAATACTTAATATTTAAAAATGAAACAAGGACTGATTGGAACTTATCTCTCATTTGTTCGTGACATTTTACAGTTTTTTCAAATTTTTTGCGCATCTTCTGTGGATACATCTTTTTTAAAATCTCTGCAAAGTGGTACAATTTTGGCAACTAGTTTCCCAAATTCTACCTTGCTTTCTTTTCGTATCTATGTAATTGATTTAAAAACTATAAGGGGACAAAAATACAATATTTTTGTCTTTAGAAACTTAACTAAGAAATTAATTAAAGTCACAGACAAATTTGTATGAGAAACTAAAAAAATATTTTTTAATTCTAAAAACAAACATTAAAATTACTTATTAAAATGATATCCGTTTTTATATGAAGTTTATTTTATACGAAATTTGACTATTTATATCCATAAAATCGTTCCTTGACCACGTAACTAAAAATTGCAGAATTTACCTATTATCTCCTCGAAATTGAAATTATAAAAATGAAATATTCTCGTTTTTAGAAATTTTATTATAAGAAGCAAACAACCATTAAACAAAAATCTGTTTTTCAATAAAATATGCACAGAGTAAAATGATGTCCAAACTATGTAATGCAAATATGTCAATTTTGACTTGGTATAAAAACAAGACAAGCAGCTAAATCAATACACCTTTCGAAGCCTTCGAAATGCCGAATATGTAAAAGTGAGTAAAACTCACTTCTGAAACTAAAGAAACTTTTACTTGCTTTTCTCGACAAGTCGCTTTCGTGCTCTGCAAACACTCAATTTTTCTTTATCAATTTTATGGCGATGGATGAACCTCGCAAAATGGCGCTAAGATTTTCTACGAAACTCTCCCCTATATATGTGTGTGTGTGCTCGCAGTGTGAAATACGTAAGTTAAATAATATTAATTCGTTGTAAGAGATGAGAGATTGTTTAAGCCTGTTGTTTTGTTCTCCTTGTACGTTACCGGACATATTTATTGGTAGACGTAGAGCGGTGTAAGCACGAGTGTCTGTAAATATGTGAAATACATGTAAAAATGATTCTTCTTTTACACCCACGAGGTCGCACCTTGTTCTCTCAAGTTCCTTCACCCACGACCATTACCGCGAAGCGGGGCTCATGTGTTTCGGACGTGCCTCGTCCCTCGCGCTTGGCTACGCAAATATTCACTTGGGACGTGAGTTTGGTCAGATTGTCTGGGCTGTATCCTGTCCGGTTAAAAACGCGCGCGACTCTCCGGCTTAGAACGGCGTAAGGGGATTCACCAAGATTGCCTCGGCGCCGATTCAACTTGGCCGCGTACCATTTAAAAGCGCGACGTGTCTGATTCCTTTAATTGAGTCATTAGCGTTCGTCTCGGCCATTCGAGTGTCCGGCAGGCTCGTCGTTTCAGTCGTTTCATCTCGAAAGAGTATACTGCCCCCTCTCTTTGTATAAGTCCAACTGGAAAGCGACTCGCAACGATGGCGAAAATGCCGCCATTCAACTCAAGTCCAACAATAAAACAGCGGAACAGCGTTAAGGGGGGAATTGCACGCAAAAGGCCGTTTTCAAGGCTATTTTTACGAATTTTTGCAACAGAAACGGTAAGATCAATGGACTTGAAATTTTCACAGTGTATATTTATTAATGTACAAAGTATAAAATAAATTTTATTGAATCACAAGAACCGATCCAATTTGTAATTAAAGATAAAAATGCAGTCATCCGTTTGCGAGCTCTATGTTTGCGGTCGACATCATTCCGGGCCTCTCTCTCACTACTCTGAGACCAAAAACTGTGAAAGATTATTAAAATATATGGTTGCCGTTATAGCCCGTACCAAAATGAAGGCAATGAAGCCAAATTTGGAAAAATAATGACTGTACAAAAAAAAAGTATCAAAAATGAAACTTTTTTCAACTTGTAATCATGTTTAAAAAAAAATGAATAAAACAAAATATAACTGTGTTCGAGGTAGGGGCGAAAACTACGTGTCTACTGTATGTTGTGTAAAGATTTCAAGTTATTCGGCTCAGTAGTTTTCGCGTAATCGTGTCGACAGTTTAAGAAAACGGTGTTTCCAGATAAACGCGTTTATAAAGTTTCATGTGTTCTTTTGCATACAGATAGTAAATACAGATGTGCGAATCAAGAATTTTTATGTCGAATCGAATCTCATTTTTTTAACTCGAATTCGAATTGAATCGAATCTACGAATTTTCACTCGAATTCGAATCGAATCGAATGAAATCGAATCGAATTATTAAAAAATTTAACATGACTATTAAACATGTAAATAATGATGGAAGATTTTAATATGAAAGGGAATATTAATATTGTAATATTTTATCTTAAAGTAAAATATGTATTTAAATATCTAAAGTAATTTATAATTAAGTTATTAATTATAAGTTAGGTTAATTACAAGTTAAGGCTTCAAACATACAGGTCCAGATGGCCCGTTTTGTTGACGCAAACGATAATGTATTTGAGTCCTATTCAATTATTCGGATTCGAATTCGAATAGTTCGCACATCTCTAATAGTGATAAATTTATCTTATACTTTGAACATTAATGAATACACTGTGAAAATTTCCAGTCCATCGGTCCTACCGTTTCTGTTAAAAAAATTCCTAAAAATAGTCTTGAAAAGCGGCCCGCTCTGCATGTAATTACCTTTAATTGCTTCGCCGTTGGGAGATTCGAGACACACTCGTAACGAGGCGGATCGAAAGTCGGAGGCGGATGATGCAATCGTGGCGTAAATATGCACGCGATACCGGAGAATTCTGATGACCGGCATTGGATTAGCATTAGACTCACTCCTTAAGGTCGGGGCAAAAACATTCACTCGGCGGGGGATTCATTCCGTGCGGACGAGGAGCGAGGAGTCACGCGAATTCGAGCGGGACCTGACCTGCCTCCGCTCGCTCGCCGGGGTGCCGCTCGAGCGGGCCCGCAGGAGCGGAAAAAGCCCGGCGATATTTCAACGAACTCGGCGCGAGTCCGCGCCGCAAGAAGCGCGGACTCTCGCCGCGCGGAGAGATAAGGCGAAAAATCGAAAGACGGGAGGAGGAGGTCACGGTGACCGGGGCCCTCTCCCCCCCCCCGCCGCGTTCGTGCGTTCAACATCGCGGACTTCTTGCTGGGCTTTCTTTCGCGAGCGCCGGGGAAACGCCCTCGCTCGTGTTACACGCCGTGAAAGGTCTCAGGTAACGCTAAGGCTAAGGCTGCTCGCCGCTGAGGAAGAGAGAACCTCCTCCTCGCCGTTTCGGATTTATTACGGTCAATTACCGAAAAATGTGGCCCCGCGCCGCGCCGCGCCGCGGCGATATTCAAGTAAACGCGCGCCGTAACGGGCCGCAAGTGGTTCTCAGCCAGGACGCGGCAGAGTGGTCGGGCAAGGTTATTAAGCGAGCGGATTCGTTACGTCCTATCCTTCATCCCCGCTCCGCCTGCCTTATTAACCGAAAAAGCTCCATTCACATCGGCCAGGTGGAAGCGGCTCCGAGGTATCGCCAGCGCGGCGCGCGTCGGTAAATCGTGCGTAACGAGAGCGTCGTTAGGTCGCGTATCTTTTCCGCGATCAGCGCCGTTAATCAGCGTTAATTCATCGACGGCCGACTCGGATGTCTCGAGATTGATGTCTCGGGCTCTTTGCTCTTTTCGGGCAAACGGACCGTCGAGGCGGCGGTGAGGGAACTCGCCACGACCACGTCGATTGAAATCAGCCTCGGTAAACTTTCTGAAGCAGCCGTTAATTGATCTCTCTCAGTCGGGGCCCGCCGCCGCTGATCGGAGCCGCCGATACGCCGTTAATTAATGAAATTAGGCCCCTTGGATCGATCCACGAAGGAGATCCACGCTCGCCGAGTCGTCGTCTCCTCGCCGTCGACTCGCGCGTCTTTTTATTTCCGCCGATTCGCCGTTAATCGGTCTCGGGTCTCTCGCAAGGACGGCCGTTCGCCGGCAGGACTCTCGTTCGCTCGCGCGACGCGCACGTTGTTGGTCAATTAACATCGGCTTCTTCCCCCTCCCCCCCCTCCTTCGTCAACCTACCTACCGTTAATCTCAATCTCGGGCTTCGCGCGGACAACCAACGTTCGCCAAAGACCCGCGTGGATCATTAACTAACTGACCGCGATATTAATTACGTAAAACGTTAATCGTCGAGCCCTCCCTCCCCCCCTCCCCCCGGCTCCCGAGACGAATAATGAAGGTGCGTGTGTATCGGGGAGTTGCCCGAGTATTTCGAGATAAACGCCGGGACACATTGAGATGATTAAATCTTAGGCGCTCTCGCACCCGCGTTGTTGTCTGATTACACACCGCGGGGCGGAAAGGCCCGATCCTTGACGTGGCGTTAACAGGATAAATGAAGGTGCAGGACCGGTTCGCGCGTTAATGGCCGCGCGGTCGCAATTCGATCGGTAACTTCATTATCCGATGCCGATTACGCAGGCGGTTTTTTGTATCACCGCCACGGCCGGCTCAATTAGACGCGCCCGAGAGAGCGCGGTGACGCAGGCGCTTTTGTAATTGCGGAAAACGCGCGGTGGACGCGCGCGCGCGAGCGCGTGTCAACGCGCGAGTAATTAACGCGTTCTAATGGAGCGCTAATGAAATGCTAACGAGTTCGTGCATAAATAACGGCACGATTAAGCGACGCGGTATCGCGCGGGCCGGCTCGGCCTGTTCGCGTATCGAGGGGCAATAATTCCTTCCGCTCGGCACGCGAGAGGAGATACGGCCTGTTGCGGCGGGCCTTCGGGCGGATTTTCGCAGCGGATCGGCTCGATCTGGCGGATCTACATAACTCGTTGGGCGGAATCGCCGCGCTGCGGAGCTGAGTGGATCCGCGGCGGCGCGCGGCGTCACGCTCTCGGTACAAGATCGCCAAGCGGAGGAGAAAATGTTTGGTCGAGTGAAAAAATCTTCTCGTGAAATATCACGAACGACGGAAATCCCGGCTAAAATTGTCCAGATTCAGTCTGAGATTATCAAGGTTTAAGCGGGACTTGATTAATCTGATTTATCAACTCGAACTTGAAGAGTCAACTTGAACGGGACTCTGTCTGAAGCAGAATGTTGCTGTTTTAGTTGACTTTTATTGCCGGAGCGACGGTTTATTAGTTACAATAAAATTTTAATCTTCATCAAATTTCAGTACAAGGTTGCTACGCGGAGGAGAAAATATTTGGTTGAAGGAAAACATTTTCCCGAATATTACGAATGGAAATTCCGGCTGAAGTTGTCGGAATTCAAGATTTAAGCAAGATTCGAATAATCCAACTTGAACTTGAAGAGTCAACTTGAACGGGACTCTGTCTGAAGCAGAATGTTGCTGTTCTAGTTGACTTTTATTGCCGGAGCGATGGATTGTTAGCTACAATAAAATTCTAATCTTTATCAAATTTCAGCACAAGGTTGCTACGCGGAGCAGAAAATATTTTGTTGAATAAAAAAATTTTCCCCGAATATTACGAACTCCAGAAATTCCGGCTGAAGTTATCGGAATTCAAGATTCAGGGAGGACTTGAATAATCCAACTCGAACTTGAGGAGTCAACTTGGGATTCTATCTTAAGCAGAATGTTGTTGTGTGTGCTCTGGTTGACTTTCATCGCTGAATTGTCAGCCGAGATAAAATTCTAATCTGTATCAAATTTCCTTCGATACGGCAAAGTCATTCATCTCAACGAGTATGATTCGACGTCGAGTGTCTTGAACTGAATCCTCCATTAGCCTTGATGGAGAATCGGCCTTTCAGCACGAACAAACCCGCCGTGCTGCAGCATCAGACTTTATTAGATGTAACTATTGATACCACGCGACTCTAAGACTCGATTACTGCAATATAGAAAACTGGTTATCCACACTCTGCGTCCAAGTGCGCGTGAAGTCGGCTAAACCTCTCTTTACGTTCTTCGCCGCTCAAAATCACGCGTTACTCAACACGTCGTTTCAACCGTGCCGGATTACCGAGAAATTAAGTTCAAACTGCTCAAAACTCGAATTGATCGATCAAAATTACCGTGTTAAGTAACGTGATCACAGAAGCATATAAGAGCCAAATCACACGTGGAAAAAGAGCAGTCGCAACGACGAATCTCCCCTTAGTGCTAATGTCACGCGGGAAGCGCGGGAGAGGGGTGAGTAGCAGGGGTGTGTACTCGAGAAACACTCGACGTTCCGAAGTACAAAGTACTATAAATATTTTTATTCGTTACACTGAATGCCTCATTACAGTCGAGCGCTCTTACATACGACACACGATGTACGTACGGATGTGTGAAGGAAAAATATTCGAGACGAAAGCGCGAGGAGCTCCCCCTCTCTCCCGTTCCTTCGCTCCGGGCGAGTCGACTTCTGCGCGCGCGAGAGGAGGAGAGGGCTCGCGTGTTACGCAAGAACACGCGTATTGTCCGGTCTCTTCACGAGGAGACGGCCAGCCACGTGATCGTAAAATCGTTACGGCGTCACGTTACGTCGATCAGGGCTCGGCGAGCGATCGACCGGTCTCCGGTTAGGATAATAGCCGTAACATTTACCATAGGCTAGTCCCAAACAATAATTGCTCAATCACGCGCGGTCGTCGTGTGTCATAACTGCTGATTATTATCTCGAGAGGGCGGCTCTCCGTCGGAATAATCGGGCACGATGCATAAACATATACACATTATTAGGCGAATTAAAGGAGAAACTCTCCTGGAACTAGACCCAATAAATGTCAGGGCTGCTGGGTACTCGCCGCGGCCATCTTGCTTTCCGTGATGTCGAAAGCGAGAAAACGCATGTCGATGATTCTTGCGCGAAGTACATCGAGATGAAGGAACACATCCGAAAAATGACACTCGCGGTCAGTTGAGCGCACTGGCAAAATACTCGGGAGGTTTTCCTTCTGCCGACAACGATCGATAAATTGTCGAGAAATTAACGCGACGCGCGATTCACCTTTTCGTCTTTTCCCATGATTTCGTCGCGTTAATTTAGCGTTAATTCTTTGATCGTCGGGATGAGAGGAAAACGTTTGGAGCATTTTGCAGCCGATTGCAAAATTTTTTAAGTTATGATATATTTCTTTATGTTCCGACGAACTTTGCGGGAATTTCGAGCGCGCGTTTCGATCGCAAGTATGAGTTTTTAGGTTATGATATATTTCTTTATGTTTCAACGAACTTTGCGAGAATTTCGAGCGCACGTTTTCCCGCACTCGACCTCGTAAATCACGCGGCGCATGATGGCGCGCACGGCACAGGTGTGTGTCCGTTGCATTTACAAAAATATATTATACAGCGTTGTAAAAAACTTAGCGACAGAGGACGCGGTCGATCGTGAGGAGGGGTTCGCGACACGATCCTCCTGTGACGGCGGGAAGAAACATTTCGGCGACCGAAAAAAATCCTATCACGACCATCAGGATCTCACTTGATCTCGGAGGCTCGCTCGGAGACGAGAAACGGGTAGACAAGGGAGAGGGTGGGATGGGGGAGGGAGGGAGGATGATTCGGGCCGAGATTTTGCTCGTCCTCTTGAAACTTGAATCAAGCTTCTTAACTCCCTTCGTGTCTCTGTAGATCGTCGTGTAAAAAACGCTTACGCACAGTATGTATAACCTAAATAGAAATATATATATATATATAGCATTTCTTCCAACATATTTTTGCCTCCTCTCGTTAATAAAGGGTATGTCGTTTAAGTCTTATCGTGAATGAAGGAACGGCTGGATGAAGAAGCTGAGTCACGTGTGTGAGCGCAAATGGAACATCACCGCGGTAGAAGGACGATATTGATTGAACGGGATCAAGTTGATCGCGATCAGTTATCGGCGATACTTTCGACAGGGTCCAGTCGATCCTAGCAACAACAATGCGTGCGTCTCATCGATGGTCGCACCGCGTGCGAGTCACGCTACGTTCTCGTATTCCCGGTTTCTATTGCGATTGCACGTCTTAAGAGTCGACTCGTCTTTGTTTCCCAAAGTTTATTCCTTGAAGCTTGCATGTTCCATTTCTACGAGTCCTTGCGTATTTGGGAATCATACAGGTCAAAAAGAGTTAATCCCGCAAACACCATCAAGCTTGGAGGATCAACGGATGATCTCGATTATTTAACGCTGAATGGGCTTCGTCGGTGTAAATCCAATAGTTGAAGTTTAAAGGAGCACACTTATTAAAAAAGTCATTTAATATCCGAAGGAAGCAACATGTCAATCATGTAACTTGCTCAACTGCAGACAAGATAAACATATGAATGTTAAATAAATAATAACGAATTTTCTGCTTTCCTAATGTCTTTCTTTTTTTTTAATAGCTGTTGGAAATCCTGATGGGATATTCAAAAAATCCAATCCAGTAAACAGCGAGATTCGAGAAACTCCAGACCGAATTTCAATGATATTGCTCAACTTTAAAAAATTCATTCTTTGCCAGGCATTCTTTGCTTAAGCTTTTTGGTAAGATTCAGCTTGCCAGTCACGGAGTTAAAAGCGAGATATGACTGAATGCCGTCTTTGTACTTTCACATTGCGCCGTTGAACGTTAGACCGCACTACGCGAAGTGGGAATAGACTCCAGGATGTGATAGCCGACGACGAGATGCTCACAAATTTTTCTCTTCCTTTAGAGTTTCCTATCGAATTTTCAAACACAAGTACAAAGTCCAGAGATTCTGCTGGAAGAAAATTTGTTACTTCATCTATTATTAATTTATGATGTAGAGGACTCTTTATTAATCTTTTTTTTATTTACGGTTAATACTTATTTATCGGATTACTCAATATCGCGACAGTCTACCTGAGTTGAACAAGTTACGTCATTAATCGCTCAAAGGATGGAGAAAAATTAAATGTAGGCTGAGCATCGAGCGACTCTTCAATCGGGACGGTGAGTGTCATGCGCGCAAACGACTGTACATCGAGATCCTTTATTTATTGGTCCTGCGAGTTTGTCGGGACGCGCAGAGTTGGACTGGCAGAGACCAAACTTTAATTTGGGGGTCAAGGATCAAGCTCAACGTTCTCTCACCGGTGTAACAGAACGGAGCGCGACTCTCGCGAGATACTCATCACCAAGCTCCCCATCCACTTGCCGCTTTTCACGAAGCACCGATCCGATTGCTCAACAATGCAAATACGGACATCATCTTTGGTGTGGCCGCGACTCTGACAGCGGAGACCGCGCCAAGTCCCAGCCGTCCCGGCGAGCCGCACAGCGTGAGATGAGATTTGTATTTGCATTCTCGCAACATTTGTCCTTCTCGGTGCGCTCTGCTTACGTGCAAATGATAACGATGTACATTCATAACAAAACTGGAACAATCCGCGGGATACGCGCGGCCTTGAGTAAGAACGACCATATGCGATATACTTATATATATATGTGTGTGTGTGTATGTATATATAGGTATGAAAGTCTCTGTTTCTCTCTCTCGCTCTCTCTCTCTCTCTCTCTCTCTCTCTCTCTTCCTTTCTTTTCCTTCCTTCTGACCCACTCTCCTTGTCGTTGTCTACTCGAACTGCGGCCCCTGATCCTGTACAAACAGAGTAGTACGAGTCTACTTAGGCTAACAGGCTCGCGGGCCACTTAAGACATCACACACCGATTGTGCACAGTTACAGTGGACCAACTGGTCGGGGATTAAGGTAGGAGGGGATGATAGTACACCGGCTTGCGGCTCTTCTCCATGACGTAGAAGGCTTTGGGCTTGCCGTTTCCGGGGAAGTTCTTGTGGATGCTGGCGGGGCCCGTCTTGCTGGCGGCCGGCGCATAATAGGACATGGCTGCCTTCTTCCGGTGCTTCTTCAACTTCAGCACGGCATTGGCCGGCGAGCCATGGAGCTCGTTGGTCAGCCGGATCGTGTGCATGCTCGAGTCGTCGAGCCTGTACGCCTTGTTGGCGACTACATTGTCGTTGTCGCCGTTCCTCTTGGCCGACTCGAAGAGCTTGCCGTTGTTCTCGTGGCTGTCGGAGTAGCGGAGCCTCTTGTCGTTGTTCCTCACGTGCTTGCTCGCCGGCGGCTTGTGGTGTGGCGAGTGCAGCCTGTTGTCGGCGCCGTGGTAGTCGTGGCTCTTGCCTGGGCTTGCTGTCTTCAACGGGCCCGCCGACTGTTGCCGCTTCTTCATGTCGTCGAACTTCCTCCTCGCCTGGTCGAGCCTCAGTTGACTCTGCAGCCGCCGTTTCTCCGTTATCTTCTTCACCACCGGCAAGTTCCAGTGGTAGATCTTGTCCGGTTTACCGTTCACGTGGAATCCTAAAAATTCGCGCAGCGTCAGACCGCCGGTTCTCGTTACCTTGTCGTCTTTCACCGAGGCCTTGTGCGGTTTCGTGATGGTGTAGTACGGCGGGCTGGCCGGAAGCTTCACGATGTAAACGTGGCTGTCCCGGTGGCCGTGACGCCGGCTGTAGGGCTGATGAATGCGCGTCTGCGAACTGAATCCCGGCGGCTCGGGCCCGGCCAGTCGCTTCTTGTGATGGCCATCGGGTATTTCGAGAGGTGACAGCCCGAGCCGGTTTAAGACGGCCGCATTGCTCGTGTGAACGGTCTCGAACTCCGGGGATATCTCCTCGGAAGCGGCGGTGGCCGCCGCGCCGAGACCGCGGGAGACGGTCAGCATTAAGCCACCTAAGAGGTAGAATCTGAAACCGAAACCATCACTGGCATTAAGTCAGCTGGAGGGTAAGATCCGCAGCAAGAATCACTAGCGACTGAGATTTTGTAATCTTCCCAACAAACGACGAGATGAAATCGGAAAGGTACGGATACGCAGCGTCGGCTCTGAGTGACAGAGAGGATTCGAGATTTTGTAGAAATCGCCTTAAAGTCATGTTCTTTTCTGCGGTATTTCTTGTAAAGCTCGACTTTATATTGTTGTAATACAATCGCCGGCTAATATCTTCACCGGAAATTGAGGAGAAAGTTTAACCGACTGGTTGCTGGACTGACGAAGCCTTTAACGCCCGACTTTTTTACAAGTGTTTTAAGAATAAAATTTGAGTTTTTTTGAACTGAGACTATAAGTAGTGATAACCAAAAAAGATATCAGAATTTTATATCTACGAAAAACTACCTTTCCAATGTAAAGTAATGTAAAGTAAAACGTGAAGTAATAGTCTATTTCTGAACGAATAGATTTGTATTTTTTTTTTGTAAATATAACGGTAAAAATGATAAACATGGATACACTCAGAGATGGTTATCCAGATGGAAAAACCGTGAAACAATTACATGGAAAATCAGCATCAATCGTTTACTTCTGAATATATGAGTACATGAAGTTTCCGCTTTTCGTTTGTTGGTTTCGTTAATTTGGTTTTTCTTATCGTTCGTTTTTTGTTCATCGGTAAATATGACTTGGATCCTAAAAGCATGTACGAAATGAGCAATCTATGCAGAGAAAACTGAAGGGTAATCTATACGACATAACTCTGATAGTCAGCTTGACATTTTTCAGTTGAAACTATATTTGTAAGTGAAGTTTATCAATCAGAGCGTCAAGCTTACTATTTCAGAAGAATATCTTATAGATCACCATTTAGATAGTCATGGACGATTGTCCCTTCATTTTTCGCCACATAAAAAACTGTAGGTCACCAGGTTTCACGAAAACAGGTCGATTTCTTGATTTTCGTGTCCACCATATTGGATTCGCCATTTTTGAATTTCTGTATTCTTTTAATTTCACATTTTGCATCTGAGAAAGCTTTCAAGTGTATAAAAATATAACAGACACCAATCTATTCATTTATAGTGCATTTCTAGATGTCAGTAACAATACTAACTGTGCCTACTTGGAATTTGACAAAACATGTTATCATTAAAACTGAACTAAAAACAGACTAAACCGAATCTACATACAATCTATATACCATTTTTTAGAAGAAGAATTCCTTTACAGTGACCTTTACAGTGGTGCAAAGAAAACGAAAATATCTCCTTTTTCAACTAAGTTATGGATTCTTAAATGCGTTTCTGGTAACTATAGTTACCAGTAGGCGTTAAAGGGTTAAGGACATATATTCGCATATCTGTAGCGTCGGTGCAAGTGAGTGTTGAAATCTAAGGATCTAAATTCATCCAGACCGACTGAAACGTCCACTCGTGTGGATGAAGGATTCACTTTAGGGTCGAGTCGACATGTCGACCGTCGCGTTAGTTGATGACTGAATTATCAAAATTAACCAGGACACGACAGATATAAATGCAACTTGAAGAAGGTACATATCCTTCACCTGGACTCACGCACGATTCAATGGGAACGCGGTAGTCTCGCGTGGATGTGGGTCACCGCGATGATCGTCGGAGCACGCGACGCGTAAGACGCGCTTCCTTTCGTGATTGCGATTCCGAGCGTGGCGGCATTTTCACTGGCGTGTCGAGTGAATTTTTACGCGGTTCTAGTGAAATTTCACTCTGGCAAGTTTACAGGCTGGAGTCAGGAGCGTTCTGGCCGTTGCACCGCGCGTCTTGTCTGATGGACACTGATAAATACATTAATAATAATTAGGTCGTTTTTCACGTCGAAGATAGCCGGCGCGCGTGCAGGAAAGTATCTCGTATGCGGATGGCCGTTTAATGCCGGGTAGCTGATTAGAAAGAGGTGCGCGAGAGCGGTATTCCAACAGCGCTCGTAAACGCGTGGCGCGAGTCCGCTCGAGATCTAGATGAAGAAGAGGCAGAGTTACGCCGACTTAAGGAACGATTCATCACGGGTCTCACTCGGACCGGCCACGTCTGCGGAGCCAACGGAGGAAGAAGAAGAAGTCGTCCAGCCGTGACCCCGCGAGGAGCGCCGACGCGGCGGTGCGAGGAATTTGAAGGAAGAAACGCGCGCGCTTGGGCTCTTCGGCCACCTGGCCGCTCGTAAATTCGACCGCGAGCCGGAAAAGTCCAAGGAAAAGAATTTCGCGGCGGACGTGGCAATTGCCACGACGATGACGATTTGGGTAGGACTCTATTCCCAGGGCTCTTGGGATCTAGTTGGGATCTAGAAGGATTTCCTGAAATTTTTTCCATGCGAAAGCGGACCGAGGTATATTGACCGAAGAAAAGATGTCCGTTCTGTTTCCATTCCGGATGGATAGTCCATGTTTGGGATAAGATTTCCAATTGGTGTCGTAATCAAGTAACAATTTTCTGGAATTTATCGTGTAATCTGAGAAAATTCTAAGAATTTTCTAAGAAATAAGGGTACACACCATAAGAAATTGGAATAGATCGACGAAATTATCCTGCCCAACGTCTCCCCGGATCTTTTCCGAATGCTACACACTTTTTATTTTCTATCCATTTTCTATTCTATTGTGTTTTATACCTTTTATTTACGGCTAGTTGCTTTTCAAATTTACCGTAACTTATGTCTATATCATCTGTGAAACAAAATAGAATTGGATAATTCTTAAATAATTCCCGTACTAAATGAGTACGGAAATCTGCTTGATTACGCAAGAAATGAAGCAAAATATAACGGGCGAGGTAGATTAGCAGAGCAGGAATTGATTCCAAGGCGAATGCTCTTTCAACTGAGCTATCCATAACAACACCATGCTTCAATATATATTACTTTAAATGATCACTGGCGATGAAAAGTGGATTGTCTACAATAATGTCAGTCGAAAAAGATGATGGTCGAAGTGCGGGGAGGCTGCTAAGACGATCGCAAAGGCTGGATTACACCTGAAGAAGGTCATGTTCTGTATCTGGTGGGATTGGAAAGGAATTGTCTATTATGAGCTGCTGTCATCCAACAAAACGATTTATTCGACCAAGTACTGCTCACAACTGGCCAAATTAAAGCGAGCAATCGATCAGAAGCGGCTCGAATTGGCGAACAAAAAGGGCATTGTGTTCCACCAGGACAACGCTAGACCACATGTTTCTCTGATGACCCGGCAAAAGTTATTGCAGCTTAGGTGGGATGTTTTGGTGCATCCACCGTATAGTCCGGACCTTGCACCTTCAGACTATCACTTGTTGCGGGCGCTACAGAACAATTTGAATAATAAAACCTTCAGTTCCCTGGACGTCCTTAAAAACCACTTGGATAACTTCTTTGTCCAAAGATCTCAGGACTTTTATGAAAGAGGGATAATGAAGCTCGTGGAGAGATGACAGAAAGTCATTGAACAGAATGGAACATATTTAGTTGATTAAAATCGTTTTTTTGCTAAATATTTTGCGTTTGTAATTTGTTCGATTTTCGCTGCGGAATTATGCATAGACCCAATAATATTCTCATACCGCGGCATTACCATGATTGCGACGCAGAAATTCGATAGAGATTTACCAAGGAGATTATTGATTATAATATTCGACATTTTGTTCTGAGCTAGCCGCAAAGCTGCCAATTACCTTATCATTAGCTCAATTCATTTTCTCCATGTAAAAATATGTCGCCGCTGTAATGACTGAAAAATCTCCCGTAGTCTTTTTCAATCCGTCGAGCAGACTGAGGGCCCATAAAAATTTCCAATAAAAAACGGGACTCCCAGCATAGTCGGTCAACGATTTCTGGGCCAAGTTTGGAAAGTCTAATCGGAATCGCAATCTATATCCGGGAAAGAGAGGAAATCTGGGAAATTTCTATGAGAGGACGACGACGACGAAGACGAAGCAAACTGCTCGCGCGAGCAAGGTGTCTGGAAATTTTACGAGCCGAGAGAGCCGTGGACGCAAAAACGCTGGGACGATGGATGGGCCGTGAGTTCGCCGGCGCTTCGCGCTCTCTCGCCAACTGAAGCGCGTATCGCGCTTTGCTGGCAGACCGTGCGATAAATCAACCCTCCGCTCTTAATTACTCACTAAGCTCGAGAAGCAGCGGTCCTCGTTTGTTATTCCGCGTCCCTGTCCCCCGCGCTCTCGCGGTGATAAAGTCAACGACGCTTTCAACGGCTGATGTGAAGCAGCCATTTTCAGCTGTTGCGCCATGTTTGACTTGCAGTTCCACGATACAACGATACATTCTCTTGGAACAAAGCGAAGAGGAACGAGGGGGGCCGGAAAGGAGGGGGGAGAGCGTCTAAAAAAAAAAGTCTTTCTCCTCCGCTTCGGCCCCGCGCTGACGCTGAAGAGGCGCGCGCGTTACGCTCTCGGGCGGCCACCAATTTCTCGCGGTCGGCGAAATGAATTGAAAAAATAATGATGCGATAAAGATGCGCGCGAGGCTGCACGCGACGGGCCTCTCTGTGACGGGGAAATAATGAAATATTCGCATGTCCGCTGCGCGCCCGAGCGACCGCGGCGTTTGGCCAGCCAATGTCCATCGGTCTTGGAAGTTGGAACGTCCGTCACGCAATAGCCGTAAATTAATATGCCAGCCGGGCGTCTCCCTCGTTGTGAAATTATTCCTCCATCTAGCAAGGTACTTGACGTGGTCATTCACAACGAGACGCGACGCTCGTGCGCTCGGGATGCGCCGACCGGGGGAGAAGCCGGAGGAACGGACGCGGACGGACGGAGACGAACGAGACGGAGAGAAGGCAGAGGAGGAAGATTGCGCGCGAGGCGATCGCTCGAGCGACGCTTTTTTATAATTCGATATAATCAGGGATAATTTGCGAGCGTGCGAGAGAGAGAGAGAGAGAGAGAGAGAGAGAGAGAGAGAGAGAGAGAGAGAGGGGGGGAGGAGGGGAAGGGGGGA